TTTCAGCAGCTCCAGGTCACTTTGGGGAATTGAATGTAAATTCCAACCAGGGGCTCCCCACCTTCTGAAACAGGCTCCCCTCAGATGGACAGGACCCCACAGAGGGACAGGACAGAGCACTTAGTTTGAGTTGTCTTAAAGGCTACGGATCAGCAGAGGAGGTGAGATGGTCAGGAGTCTGGAGTCTAGAATGAACCTGGGGGGTAGGGGTGGGATAGTGAGGAGTAGGATGAGACACTCCACCACCTCACAGGGTCCCTGGTGGCCAGGTAGGGCTAGGAATACCAACCTGGGAGGACAGACCACTAGAGGTGCTGGAACCTGCACGTAATGGAAAGCTCGGCACTGCCCCTGGGAAATGAGTGTTTGCAAGGAGAAAGGCGGAGTCCCCTGTGGCAGCCTTGGGCCCTGCCCATTCTGTCTTGGGGATCAGCTTCTGGAGGCCTCCGTCTCAGTCAAGCAGTGAGCAGCCAGAAGAAAGAAAGGAGCTCAGTACAAATATAAATACCTTTAATGAAAGCTGAATGCACCTTACAGAGCTTCAAGGACAGCCACCAGAGCTGGGGTGGCAGCAGGGGCACTGCTACTTGACCCCAATGGCTAGGCCAGAGGCCCCAGGAGGCAAACAAATGCCAGAGCAGCCGCCAGCAGCAGGGGAGCAGGGGCTGGGGTTAGGGCAGGTGCTGTCCCCCTCAGTGTCTCCTGGTTGGTCTCGGGGCCTGCACCATGCTCCCAGACGTGCACAGGGCTGCCACACAGAGTGTGCAAGTTATCTGGGTGTGGGGTCCGACGAGCTTCTTGCTGTAGTGACTCCCACACCGCAGCCGCCTCCTTCGGGCAGCTCGACAGAACTTGAGAGGCGCAGGTGTGGAAGTCATTCCAAGACCTGTTCAGGGCATGGGATGAGGGGAGTTAGGTGGGACAAGGAGGCTTTGGAATGGGAAGAGGTTCAGGCACGGAGAGTAGAGGGTCAGGCACGGAGAGTAGAGGGTCAGGCTGCTGTCCATGCACCTGCTCTTACCTGCAGATGGTCTCCAGCTCGCCTCCGTGACCCATGCCATCCCCCAAGCGGATGAGACACTTGGCAAAGCCCTGGTACATGTCACAGCGGCTTTGGCCCACGGCAGCTGCCTCCAGTGAAGATAAAAGGACTGGGGTTAGGGGTGGAAAATAGTTGATAGGATGAACTGGCCCACCTCCCAACTCCCAGGGGCTTATTTACTCTGGCACGCTATGGGGACATGACTCAGCGTGAAAGAGGTACCCCGGGGAAATGAGGGGCACACCTGGGATCACCTGCCTGGGCTCTGTTCTAGGTGGGACTGAACAGAGTCAATGTGGAGGAAGGCAGGGTAGTGTCCTCACAGCCCAGGGGTCAGCTCTTCCTCTGAGCTTCTGGGGCTTCTGCAGCCCCAAGTCGGGTAAAGATGATCCGAATGAAGGAGCCAGGACAACATAAAGGGGGGCAGTGTCCAGGGCCACACTTCCCCTCCCAAGCATCATCCAGTCTCTCTGCAGTTTAGACGAACTTTGCTTGGCTTTCCCACCCCATCCAAAACAAGTATTTCAGACAGTTAGGGCAAGATAGAGGGTATCAGGATCCAGGCCAGATCCTAACAGAAGACCTCAGAGGACCCCAAAGCTAGTCTAAGTCTCACCAAAGACTATGTCTTCCCTTTATCAGAATGGGGGCTGTGAAATTTTGAGGTCTTTCCCCCACAACCAGGGCTCAGTTCACACCCCTCACTTTCAGGTCTAAAGACACGAGTACACATTATTCCCTCCATAGAGCCCTTGCACCTCCTTGCCACACTGGCTCCCAGCGCCCAGAAAGGCTGTGCCCCAGCTCCCACACACCCTACACCCAGCCTGATGAGGGTGTAAGGCCCAGGTCTAGTATGCCTGCACTCACCGAGTGGTGGTAACAGCAGCAGCAGCAACAGCCCCACCGCATGGGCCAGTCGCTGGCAGCGGTGACAGCAGCAGCACAGCATCATCCCCGGCTGGGAGCTAGTGCCAGAACTAGCAGCTCCGCTAGGAGTACAGCCCTTCAGCCCAGCCTCCAGAAGGAGGGACTGTGATTGGATGGGAGCTGGGGGCGGGGCTTCAAAGCCAGCAGGCAGCCCCACCACCAGTAGGCAAATCAGTAGGCAAGTTGACAAAGAGGGACCCTAGAGATAGGAGCCCAGGGGATCACTGCTGGCTAAGCTGAGCCCAGGGCCCTTGGCCCAGGGATGGAGAGGGGAGATGTAGGAAAGCTGATGAGGGTGGGTGGCCAGGACCATGGAGTGGGTTGGCCGTGACAGAGCTCTACAAAAGGAGAAAAGGCCAAGGAATAGAGAGCAGTTATCAAAGTCACTCCAAAGACACACCAAAAGCACACATATTCCATTTTATTCAAAAAGCATTTAATTGAATTCCTTAATGTTTTTCAAAAACAAAAAGATCCAAAACAGAGGTAAAAAGGAACATGGAAAATTCAACTCAAGTGGTGTCACAATCTCAGGGAGTCATGCTCCAGGCATGGCAGAACCCAAGAAGGCACAATACCCACCCTGGGCCCAGCCTAAATCTGCTGGCTACCATAACCAGTAGACCACAGCCAGTGCTCACCCCCTCAACCACCTCAGAGGTGCAGAGGTGGAAGCCTGAGCAGGTACAGAGCAGACATGACCCTGCTTTGGCCTAGGCCCGTCTACTGGCCTTCAGTGCCACCCCACCCCAGAGCACGGTAGGTTTAGCTAAGGGAGGCTGGGGGTCGCAAGGCCATGCAACATGAGACTGAGACGCCGGGCCACTTTGCTGAGTGAGTTGTGTGGTTCGGCCTGCAGGAACTGGAAGAGCTTCTGGCGCACCTGGGCCATGACGGAGCCCATGTGGTCCCGAGTGACAGGGTCACTGTGGTCCAGATGCATCACAGCCTCTTCCAAGTAGCTAAGGACGGAGGAAAGGTACAGGCTACAGGTGGGCTCCGGCAGATGGGAGCGCCCCCTGGTGGCACTGAGGCCGACACGGATGCCTAACAAAGGAACCCTCCAGGCAAAGGGAACTGGTGGAGAGAATTAGGGAGGGAGTCAGGCTAGAGCTGGAGTCTGCTTTGAGCTGTTCCCCCACCTCCACCTGAGCCCATCTCCTAGTCCAACTGCGCCCACTCACCTTAGCTTGAGGTCAGTTCGAGTGCCAAGGTCAGAGGCCAGCTGCTGGATGAGGGAAAGGAGCACAGGCTGGGAGAGTGGGCAGGGTGGCTGCCCAAAAACCTGGCCCGGGTCCACAGTTTCACAAACATATAGCACCAGGTTCAGGTCAGCAGCTGTCAGGGCCTGGGGAGAGAATAGCATTTAGTGTGTGGGCCTTGTCAGGAGACACTTAAGCCTTAGCTGGGCCTAATGCCTGGCATACCTGCTGGAAGGCCTGATTGAGGTGGCCCTGCTGCAGCAGCTGCAGGATATGGGCTTGCTGGGCCTGGCAGTCGAGGTGGGTAGTAGGGACAGGTGTGCCAGCAGCTGAGCGCATGGCCTGCATGATGCTAGAGGTGACGGCGGCCTGCTGCTCCTTGAGAGCCACACTCACCTCACCCTTAACAATGCGCTGTACCTGTGCTAAAATGGACTCCTGCAGGCTGCAAAGGGAAATGAGGGAGATGAAGTAGGGAGTCTGGTGTGGCCCTTTCCAAACCTACCACCTTGCCCAGGACCCTACACACACACCTGCCCACAGCCACATGCAGCTGGTGCTGCACTTCAGCCCGAACACTGCTGGACACAGTGGCTGCCATCTGCTCAGTGGCGCCCTGCAGTGTGCTGACCAGGCCCCGCAGCTGAGCTAATACAGGCTCCCTCGCCTCCTGCTCTCGCACCTTCCGGCTCTTCATGTGGCTCTCTAGCTGTTGCAAGTCTGAAAGTTGACCATGGGGGCCATGAGAGTGATGGGGAAGAGGAGGATAGCCCCTCCTCCACCCTGGAGCATATGACTCCACTCACATTCCTGTGTGCCCAGTCGGAAACTATCATTGATCTGCTGGAACATAGCCTGGCAGCTCTTCTCAAAGGCAGGCAGCACCACACTCTGGAAGGCTTCACGGTAGGCGGCCTGCATGGGCCCCTGTAACGTGTCTGCAGCTGCTCGGGCGATGGCATCTGTCAAGTTCTGGGGGGAGAGGGAGGGGCCGGGTCGAGCCAAAAGCCTGAGCCCAAGCTGGCCTGACCAACCCCACCCACTACCAACCTCCTTCATCTTTGACCCTTTAGCACCTTGGACTTCAGCAGCTTGGAGATATTCTCTTTCATGCTACCCTCCACAGCAGTGAGCTTGGTGGCTACTGAGGTGTTCAGTTGGCCTGCCACAGGCTCCAGACTCCTAGAGACACCTGGGGCAGGGTGTGGAGGGAGAGGTGGAGCCACGAGAAGAAGCTTGACAGGTAGGGGCCCACTCCCATCCAGCCCATCCAGAAGTCTCCATGCAAAACTCACATGGAGGCACCGTCTTCTTGATCTCATCCCGTATACTCCGCTCTAGTCGCCCAGCCACAGCTGAAGACAGTGCCTGGGACAGCTGTTGTGTCAGCTGTTCCTGCAGCTGCCCCCCCCGCTGCTGCCCCTCGGCCAGTGCCCGCTCCAGCCGCCGCTCTGCACTGTAGTTAAGGAACAGGCCTGGAGCAAGTCCCATTTCCCTTCTAAGAATGCTGCAGCTGCCCCTATCCCTCTGCCATGCCAGGTCACTGCCCACAAGGATACGCTCCTGTTCATGCCGAGACTCGAGGGCACGTTCCACGTGGCCTGTGACGGTGCTCTGCAGGCCTTCGAGCTGGGTGCACAGACGCTGCAGCAGCTCTTCTTGGCTGTGCCGCAGCTCCGCCAGCTCTCTCTGCTGTTGCCAAATTAGTGCTGGCCAGTCCTCAGGGGGCTCTGCCACCTGCCAGTAGCACCAACAATCATATGCCTACCCCACTTGTCCCCACGCACTAGACTAGGGAATGGCCCAGAGCTCTTCCCCACCCTGAGAGAAGTAGAAAGGGTATTTGCTCACTCACCTGGTGCTCCGTGAGCCGGGATCCCACAGCTGAATCCCTGCCATAGGCGAGAAACACCTCAGGCCAAGTCATGCAGGCAGCCTAGGGACCACCCCTCTCCCTGGCCCCAGGACCTCTCCTACCCATCATCCTTTTTGCCCTTCCTCTTGAGCTTGGGTGAGCTCCGAGGGGATCCCTTAGTCTTCCAGTCCTTGGCAGGCAGTCGTGGAGTGGGAACTTTGGTGCTAAAGCCCCCTGCAGCAGAGGCAAGGCTGGCCACCTCATCATCGTGGTCACTGTGAAAAGGGGAGAGAGAGGCCTAAGTGCCTACCACTTGCTGGCCCTCCCTTGTGAGAGAAAGGCTGTCGAGTGACATCTACCTTTGTTCAGCGCTGGTGTCCTGGCTGTCATGTTGCTGCAGCAAGTGATAAGGTGGTCGGTGGAAGGCCAGGCTCTTATGCTTTTCCTGAAGGCCATTCCTAGGGCTGGGAGGACGGCCGACTCAGATGACCATCTGAATCCCTTAGCATCAGTATACTTTCCCCCTCCCAAGCTCCTCACCTTTCTGCGAGACTGCTGCAGGTCTCCCGAGTAATGTCTGGTGCTGTTGGCCAGACCTGACTGTCAGGGGCTGTGGCCTCCTGGGTCAAGGCTGCCTCCAGAAGGGAAGGGGTACTATGCCGATCCCCATCCCCCGGGCCTCCATCCAGGCTAAGCTGGGGGCCCAGCTCAGGCCCTGGCCGGGGGCGTGGGGACAGCAGATGTAGTGCAGAGGCAGCTGAGGCCATACTGTTTGGCTCAAGGTCCTCAGGAGCAGAGGAGCCAAAGCCACGGGACAGGGCCTCAGATGCGATCTCAGGGATGTCCTGGGACAGGGCAGTGGAAGCCGAGGAGATAACATCCGGAGAGCGGGTACGGCTGGGGGAAGCCTGGGGTAGCCCCAAAGGCTCTACTTCCTGCAGTTCCAGGGCAAGTGCAGAGGCAGCAGTAGGTACCTGAAGTGGGCCAAAATGGGGACTTAGATGGAAGGAAATAGGGGAGGGGGAAACACAGACAAGGCACTGGTGTTGGCAGTGATGCGAGGGACAGTGGGGAAGGGGGATGCAGTAAAAGACAGCCACAGCTCTGGAGGAGAGGAGGTAGGAATGGATAGGCTGAGGAGCTGCCCTGCAGGGAACATGGGAGGCTGAGATGACCTCAAGGGAAATATGGGCCACTTGAAGCAGAACAGGACAAGGAGACAGGGTGCTATAGAAGACTGCTCCGACCTTCCTGATGTTATATACCTGCTAACCTGCATTTCACACTCACGCACCTGTCCAGGCCCTTTGGGAGTCAATTTGTCAGCTGGACCTGGGAGCAGGCTGGGCAGGAGGCTGCGTGGGCTTGTCTGCAGGCTGCTGCCGCCGCTGCTGCTCATTGTCAGACTGCCATCCAGCTGCAGCTTGGGGCTCAAGGTCAGCTCCTCAGGTGGCCTGATGGCAGGAAGGCTGAGGCATAAGCAACCAGAGCTTGGCATCAGCTGGCACCAACCCTCGCCATCCCCCAACTCTGACCCTCACTTCACCTGGGCAAGGAGGGGTCCACAGCTGAGGTACTGCTCATGGCAGATACAGCTGTAAGAGAGGAGCTGCTGCTGCTGCTGCTGCTACTGCTGCTATTACTAGGGGATGAAGCAATCTGGGGAGATGCAGAGAGTAAGAGCTGTGGCCGATGGGTAAGGATTCCCAGGTCCCCCTGCCCTAAACCCCAAGCCCAGCCCCAGCACACCTGTTGCAAGGAGGTGCTAGGTGTCATGAAGGCGTCAGGTGTCATCAGCTTGGGCTTGGTCTCACTGCTCAGACTAAGGAAGTCAGCGGGTGCAGGTAGCTCCACAATGCGTCGGAGATCAGGCTGGGAGCCGTGAGTAGCTGAACTCAGGCCCTCGGCGCCCAGTTCGGGCCGAGATTCTCCAAATGCTGTGGGGAAATCTGCCACCTTAGTCAGATCTCAGACCCTGGCCTTAACCTGCTTCCCTCTCACCCCTTACTCACCAAAATCCTCATGGGCAGTGTGGGTGGGGAGTGGGGCCACCACATCAGGGTTGAGCTGTGGCTGGAAGCGGATCTGCACATCTTGCAATGCCCTTCAGGAAGAAGAGAATAGGAGAGGGCTCAAAGGGGCCAGAGTCAGTAGGGTGAGGAGGGGCAGACAGGGCACACTCACTTAGTATGCACACAGAAGAGCTTGATGAGCACACCGGCTGCAGACTCCATGGCACCAGCTCCGTGGGTCCCATCTGCAAGGACAATGTGGACAACTAAACCCCTGGCCCTCTGTGCCTTGGCACTCCCGACATACCAACATATAGCCCCGACCCTGAGCAGCTCACCAGCCCCGAGGCTGTCGTTCTCTTCCTCAGCAGGCAGCACCTCCGTGTGCCGCAGCCGGCAGCGACTCACCACCTGGATACCGAAGCTCAGTACAGGGTGAGTGAGCAGGAACTCAGAGATGGAACTGAAGCAGGCACGGCCTTCTTCCTGGTTCTGCAGCAGCTCCATCACATAAAGGACCTGCACAGGCAGCGCATTCACAGCTGAGCTCAGGGGCTGTGAAGGCTGTGGACGTGCCACATATCCCTACCTGCCCCATGATACCAACTCTGCCCGAGGTGTCCCCAATGCAGTCTACCTTCCGTTGTACATCGCTGAGAATCAGGTATTCTGCTGATAGGTCCAAGCAAACTTTGAGGCTAGGGGGCACACTCACTGAGCTGAAGATATCTGGGGAGAAACTGGGAGGCCACAAGGCAGGATGAATGAGCCTAAGAGAGTGGAAAGAACTCACATCCCCAACCCTGCTACCCCCTGTCTAGCTCCCCAGCTTGTGCTTACCGAATGGTCTGCAGGCAGGTCCAAGACACTGTGCACCACATCTTTAACTCCTGATTCTGGTCAGCACCAGTAATGAGAAACCTCCAGAAAGGGACCCTGCAAAGCAATAAGACACTGAGTGACTGGCTGGGAGCCCAAGGTCCAGTGCATCACCCGCTTGCCTGCCCACTCACTCACTCAGGGTCCTGTTTCTTGTGGTTGTCACAAAATAGGAGGCAGGAGAGTGGCCGCCCATCATGAGGCTTCAATTCATGCAGACATCTGCAAGCAGGCAGATGAGGGACCTGAGTAGGTGATCTAGTCCCCTACCTGGGGGTTCCTGGTCCCTCAGCTCCTGCCTTACCTTGGCTCGTCCTGCCCCTCAATGTAGATCTGCCAGAACTTGACAAAGCCATCATGGCTTGCTGTAGCCAGGACAGTCCCATCAGGTGAGAGGGCCCCTTCACTCAGGTACTGGGAAGAACCCAAAGAGCCTTGCTTTACCACCTGACTAGAGGTGGAGCAAGGCCATCTCAGATGAGAATGACAGTGAGCTGGCCTGACCCACAGTGGATCTGCATGTTTGCGTGAAAGACTGAATAATTGGGAGGAGGGTCATAAAGACTAGACCCATGGGGTGCACATTAGACGTGAGCTCCCCAGGTAAAGGTTACTTTGTGATCCGTGTCCCCATGGGCAGAATGCCAGTAAAGCTATCTGAGCAGCTATGGGTATGAGGAATAGATGAGACACATAAGAAAAGGGGAAGAGAAGGGAGGCAGTCGTTGCAGGCTTACTGTGCTGTGGCCTTTTACCATGATGAAGCCCTGCTTGATTTGGCTGACATCCACGGGCCAGGTGCTGTGGTTGGAACGGAGCATGTCCAGGTTCCACACCTCAGCCTGGAGGGTACAGAGAGGTGAGTGTTCAGCCCATGTCCACACCATGGCTGCTCTATCCACGCCCTCTCCCTATGCCCAGCCTCCTCACCCGGTCCTCATGCAACAGGGCCACCATTGGGCTGCCCTCCTCACAGCAGTCTTCACTCTCCTCGGGAATGAAGGGGCACCAGATGATCCTACGGAAGTGGTTCAGTGGCGTACCCTCTGGCTGCCGGATATGGACCAAAATCTCTTCTCTAAGTGGGGTGTTAAGGATTAGACAACTGGATGATGAGTGTGTCTGGCATCCCCAGCTCTGCCCACCTTTTTTCAGCCCCCCATTCCATCCCAAGGAAAGGATACTGAATTTTGCCATTAACCAGAGCCAAGTGCCACACGAACAGGTTTCCTGCCTCATCTAGGCAGGCCAACTGTGGAGAGTTGACGTGTGCGAAGGCCAGGTCAGCCACACTGCCTGTGAAGCCCTTGAGCAGGGTCCGCTCCGAAGTGCTGACACTGATCACTCGCACCATCGCTGAGCCATTGTTAGCAGCTGGAATGAGGACAGGGGTTGGCCCATAGTGAGTGTCTAAGCCCAGGCAGCAGCAGAGAAGCTCTGCCCTTGCCCGCCTCAGTGTTACCACCAATCTCAAGCTTGGTTTTTCCACTTAGCTCCCCAAGGCCTGGCAGAGACAAGACTTCCATTGTATCCCTAACATTTGAGTGGGCTGAGTGGCCTTATCCTGAATCTGCATCTCTGGAGCTTCCGGCAGAACACCCCCCTCCTCTCCCTTGACCCAACTCACCCCGAATGGCATAGGCCAAGAAGGAGTTGGACACAGCAATCAGGTTGCCATAGTAGTATTTCTGCTCCCAGTCATACTTGGCGACAGGCTGGATTTTCACCTGAGAACCAAGGGTGAGGAAGGTTGTAGAAGCTGAGGGCTGGGACAGCTTTCCAGAGCTTAGGTGCTCCCCAGCATCCCTGCAGACAGCAGACGCTGCATGTGCAAGCCCAGCCACCCAATCACAACCCCTGGGGCCAGATTCCCAGACACTTGGTAGCCAACCCTGGCTTACTAAGACTGGGGCTTACTACCTGTTAAGGTGGTCCCCATAGGAACTGGCAGCATGAGAGTGGAGAGGAAGAGATTGTGTGCCCCATCCACCATACATGCCACAACATCCTGGTACCTTGTTGCTCCCCCGTGCCTTGCTTGAGATGCTGGAGTCACTGCTGGCCACAATCTCCACCTCCTTGGCCAAAATCCCAATGCAGGTAGAGCTGTCATCTCCTGAGAGGCAGCTGCGGGGAGGGTTGCAAAAACTT